TTTTGAATCCTCACCCCTCTAAATAATTCTAACCAGTAATGGAAAGAATTCAAATGCAGAAAACAAAATGATCAAATTCAATATGTTTATATATTAAATATAAGGATGGTTTCAAAAAATTGTGGTTCGGCTCGGAGAAATTGACCTGAAGATTTGGCTGGCGCTCAGAAAATTGCTGAGCCTGAATCCAGGTCCCAGGTGGAATTTGTGGCAACTCTGTGAAATCGTGGAAACCTTCAAATTAAAAGAAATTATTAGGGGCCACAGGAGCAAGACGATTTTTTCGGATGGATCATTTGTTTCATTATTTATGTATTAGTGTTATTGTTTATATACTATTTGTTATATATTCGGTATTATTACACTATTTGTAAATTCATTATTGTTTTATTGGATTTTATTTAGCCTAATATTCTTCTATAATATGTTTTCTATTATTGTCTATTTACTTACTATTTTTTTGAATCATATTTTTCTCTACTACTATGAGTCTTAATTAACGAGGTTGCTCTTTCTTCTGACTTGTTGCTTGTAAGCCTGCAATTACAGTGGCCATAGTCAAACACTCTAAGAAGGATCATACTGGATTCGTTGTGGATGCTTCCTCCCACCAAAGTCGACCCGTTCGGTCCTGTCGGCGCTGGGTATGGGTGGAGGGGGTTGCGCTTACGTGTACGAATCGGATACGCCTTTTTTTAGGAAGAGGACAGGGGGTTTGCAGTGTTGCGCGCGCAGCGCAATGCGCTCGTTTCGTGCGACTCCGTTCATCGTATCTTTTAGGGCGGCGTTAGGGCTACCATGAGGTCAGTTGACTTCCCTCCACTTCATGCTCAACGCTGCCACTATCAAAACACCCTAGATTTCAACCCTAGATCTCACCTTGTACTAATAACTTGACTGAAGTCAAGTCACTCAACTTCTAAGGAAGCCTTCTAAGGAAGTGCAGTTTGAATCCTGCCCACTATAATTAACGCCTTTCTTTTTGCATTCGTAACGGTCCTTCCAATCGCTTCTTTTTTCTGTTTATCTTCTCGAATTTCCGATAGTTTACGACACTTTCCGTTTATTTCCAAAGTGTTTTCTGTTTCACGTCATGAACTCTCTCATCTGCTCATCTTTCCACTACATTCATTTTCTCTATTATTTCTTCTTCACTTTTTTATCTATTGAATATTTTTCCCTTTCGACTATTTTGGCACTAAATAGAAATCACCCGGTATGTAATATTGAGTTGCCGAAATTTTATAGGTATTCTTTGATACTTTTGAAGCAAGTGCAGGGTTGCTCTCATAGCCCGAGATTCGCGATACTGAAAGTGACCCAGTTTTTCTATACAAGTCCCCTGAGAAACAGTTTTTCTTTCACCTAGTTCAAAAGGTTCCCGAAATCGGGGTCGAAAGCGCACTTTCTGAGGATTTGAAACTCCCTGATAGTTGTAATTACTTCAAGTATTTCATTAAAGTGACCTCTGATTCCGATTTTAGAAGACAGCAATCAGTGTATTGGTGGAAGGCTAAAGTTCACCAGTCATGAGCAAAACATGTAGAGTTCTGGATAAGGGGAATCACAACATAGTATGTGTATAACTGTGTTCATGTTTAAAGGAAAGGGCTGAACGTCATGTTGATGTTTAGATGGTGGGCAATCCTTATAACGTTGTGTTGTGGCCCTCTGCTGCATTCTCTTCTACTCTAGCATTACTCTCTCGATCTGTACTTCGGTTTCAGTGTGGCAGGGTGTTCAAAGTCCTGGTGGTGAGGCTTATTGTTTTATGCTGTATGAATACAATGCCCGATACGTAGGGGTAGCCATAATAAGACACTTATGCATTTTTGCGCGATTTAGCATTGGATGAGGCCGCCAGAGTTTGAAATTCATTATCCTGAATCTTCATTTTCTTTTCATTCCCTAACTAACCAAGCTTCAAACCTATACTGTCTGAGTTGTGTTGGGCTACATGTAGTTACCCATGACCCTGTCAAGCGGCTAGGGAGATGCACTAGGAATTTTCTTAAATTTCTAGGTCTATTACTGAAACATTGAGTGAGGCCAACCTTGTCCTTGTAAGCACTTACAAGGAAGGTCTTTTAGGATGTGCCAAGCTTTTTCAAAAAGGTCTTTTGCATGATATAGAGGCACATGCGGGAACCACAGAACCATGGTTGGTTTTTCCTGAACGGCCCTCTGTATATCAGAAAAGGGGGTCCCTAGTCACACCTTTTCCACCAGTTTTCAACAAAAGTCTATTTCTAAGGGTTACCGACGGTCCTGAATATGGTACTAATTATTTATGCTAACTCCATTTTGCGCGAATTTTGAAGCGTCAACTCGAAATGCAAAAATTTGTCACCACGAGGAATCGAACTAGGGACCGCTTTTCTTGTATTCAGAGGGCCGTTCAGGAAAAATGAACCATGCTTCTGTGGTCCCCATATGCGCCTCAATGTCATGCAAGAAACCATTTTGAAAAAGCCTGGCACACCCTGAACGACCCCCCCCCTTGTTAGTTTCGTGACCCCCTTTGTCAAAGCATCAGTTGGAGCTCGTGTCGTTGGGGGAGGTGGGGGGCATTTAAGTCCGAGTCACTCGCAGCATCTGGGACTAAGCCTTATTGAAGAGGTTAAGGGATTCTTAAGGTCACTGCAGCAGTATGTGCTCTTCCTGATGTGACCCTCTCCTGAGTCCTAGTGTCACCTTCCATAGCCCTGTTTCGAATGTCTCCCTCCCCCCCCCTCTACCGATGCCATGAGCCAAAAGAAATCATGAGGTAGCTTTGGAAGCAGTACCCAGGCAATGAATGGATAATGCTTGCTGTACTTCCACAAAATACTCTCTCTGAACTGGTACGAATAAAGTTTTTTTCTGCTGACTGTATCCTTTTTTATAGGCAGAACTTTGTCAGAAACGAATTCATTTTGATAGAATCATTTGAGCAGAAAACAATTCGAGCAGCGACGGAAGCCTACGTCCTGAGTTTCACCAGATTCGGTGGTCAGAGTTCTACATTCGTATTATGTGGTCAGGCCGCAGCTGAATTTAGTAACGGGAGCTACTTACCATCTCCAACGTGAAAAAAAGTGGGCGAGTAAAGAGTAAGAAGTAATGCCGATTTCCAGCCACATCCTTGCAGTAAAACGGCTTACATTACTTCGGAATCGAGGGAGATGGACACTGTAATGTAAGGAAGGTGAAGGAAGCTTCAATTGCACATTTCAATGATGTCATTTTTTCTCTCCCTGCAAAAATCTGTCGGCTACGAGGAAGCTCGTATTTCAAACCGCTGCACTTCTTGCACGCATCCATTTTATGGGCGGTTTTGCAGAGCCATCGCAGAACGAGAACTGGAGACTGATGCGTGAAGTTTGATGACCACGGAGGGTCGGAGATTAATGGCCTTGATGAGGTTTTTCTTCAGTATCGTGGATGCTGGTAGACGTTTTTGGCTGCAGTGGCTGTTGATGATGGTCCAGTTTCGAAGACAGGACTGGTCTCGGATCCACACACGATTAGCGCGATCGTTTAGCGCGGCGAACAATACGGCTCTGTTTGCCAACGTCCTGACACCAGCGATGTGTGCGGATGGGTTTGCCGCGTATTGAGTCGAACCAGCTACCAAAAGTCACAACTGTTAGCGTCGTACTTTATCAGTAGCCTCTTTTTTGCGCTAACAAAGTCTCCCACCTACACGAGGCCCAAATCTCCCTCCAAAAAACTGAACTTCTGTATCAATCAGGCCACTCCTCAATCAAAGAGCGACTTTCACAGAATCAGAGAAGAATATTCCCAATCGAGTGTGAGAGTCCACGACGCCTACAAAGATAGCACGAAAGCAAAAAATGGAGATTCTTTTGGGTACGAAGATGTGTAATGACTTTCGAATTCTGACCGCATTTTCAGAGACTTCCTTCTAGTTTGATTTCAGTATTGAGGGCCTTTCATCTCGTCTTTCGTGACTGATTTTTTTTACCTTTCTCTTCCATTCTTCTTCTTCTCCCTTGCGTTGGTCCCGCGCAGTCGCAGGGTCCGCTGTCTTTGTCAGCCGTCGGTATGTTGTTCCATCCGGAGCATCTTCTGTGGCCCTGAATTCAGTGGGGCCCTTCTTGATGACGTCTCTCCACGTCTTCTTTGGGGCTCCTTGGCCGCTTGCTTTGAGCCATGTGAAAATAAAATGCCTTAGCAGACTTGACCACTTCCACTATTATTGTACTTGTATTTATTTCACATATCATGGCATGTTGTTATTAGATATTGCTTTTCCTCATTGACAGCTTGCAGGGCAGAAATAACTGCTATACGGAAGCTGAATACCGATCAAGGTGAAGTCTCACCTGATTCTCCATGACTAGCTGGTAATGCTTCGCAGCAGCAGACTCATGCTCACACTTCTGAGTTTCACATTTTGCCCATTACTCATCAAGCACACTGGGCATTCTTTCAGCATTTCGTTTCACATCTTATAAAACCTATCACAGCCCCTGTCTACTTGTTTTTACCTCGTCATCAAAACTAGGTGGTGGTTCTTATTCTACAGATTAACAGAACCTTTTTCACAATCTCAGCTCTCTGTTGAAATTGAGCTCCTCGAGCGGCGAGAAGGCAGAGATGTATGTAGACGGGTCAGCGGGCGCAGTGCAGCTCGTACTAAACGATTTCGTGTGAAGTCAAATAGAATATACTATAACACGGCCCACATCACACAATATGCGGTGCAGCTCGTCCGCTGACCAGTCCGCGTTTCTGCCTTTTCGCCGCGCGACGCGCCTGCTGTCGGGTATTCGACTTTCTGTGACGTCATCAATACTGCAACGCCCTCCAGCCATCGCTACCATTGTCTTCAAATATAAATCTAGCAGTTTACGAAGGATTTTCAACGGTGACAAAAGATAGCCACAAATCGCGGCCGCAAGCTGAGCAAACATTTGTCCGGCGGTGGCCGCTTTGAAGTGGTCAAGCGTTCCGGACCACCGTATCAATGGATTCTGATTCAGAACCGATTTCAGATGTTGCTTTATATTTTTCTATTATTACTGCCATGGGTATTATGCGAGGTTGCCAATTACGGTACCGTACCGAAAGGTCTCAATCCTACGCTTTATTCACCAGATGATCTAGTTATTCAACTCGACGACAACACATTCAATGACACAATATTCTGCACTAGCAACAAGTGTACATCATATTTAGTAGAGGTTAGTGTAAGACTTAACTTGTTATGTTCTCGTCACTACTGTAAATTTCAAGCAAAATTTTTTTCTATGAGTATGTTGAGTACCATTACCTTAAGTTTGATGCCAGGTAGAGAAAGGAAGCATAAAGGATATAGTAAACAGGAATGGTCAGCACACTCGTAAGCCAAGGAATTGTCGCGAGTGAGGAATTGGAAGTAGAATTTCAAACAAATTTAGCGAGTCTTATCCAATAAATCCAGAATATTTTTTCTACCTCTCCAAAGGAGGGCGGCTGCTTTGCGACAGTCCATTTCACCTAAAGTAAACGAATATTTCGTAAGGGAAAGAAGCTCGGGATGGATGTATCAAAAGCGGGAAGGGAGATGGTCCGGGCTTTTCGAGAATTAGTCCTCCTGTAAGGATTGAAATTTCTGTAGCCAGCAGCAACAGTCGCACCACATGCCCCCCCCTCTTACTGCATGAAACTTAATTCATTTCTGTGCTAAAGGAAACGAAGAATTATACACTAAGCAACCAATTAGCATAATTTAAGCTGTGACTGCAATTGGGAATATTTTTAAATGGTCCGTAGAATTGCAATATTCCATCGATCGTAATGCGATCTGGGATTTGACAGACCGTGCACGTAAGAAGTGGCATCATTTGCCACTTCACCACCTCCACCCTCTCGATTCCTTTCACACATTTGATACAGCCATTATTTTTCCTACTCCTTGTTAATTGTTTTATTGATGGAGAGGTAGAAAAAATATTCTGGATTTTTATACGTTCACAATATTCTTCATTTTCACTTATCTATATCATGTAGCCACCGATGAATTGGCGTCGGCGACGCGGCGACGATCATTCATGGCTTTGGAGGGAGGGGGACTTTAGAGGGATAGGTGACGCTAGGATAAAGCCTTGTAGAAGGGAGAAACACCTGGGAGAACCATTGCTCACACCCACCCCCAGAATATTCTTCCCTTCCCAAGGCTTGTCCCAACCACTCGCCTGAATATCCCCTCCCTCCCCATCCAACGACATGAGCAGAGTTGGTTCCTCCGACCATAAAAAGCAAGGGAGAAGCCATTCTTTGAATGAGTTCAGTACATTGAATTCCGTATGTACGTGTTGGTCGTATATTGTGATTGTAACTGTCTACCATCTCTCCCAGATAGGTTCATACCGAGAAACCATGATGGTATTATGGATGTAGTAATATTACGGAATATTACGGATGGGGTACTACAACATCCTCCTAGCTGTTCACGCTGACTGATTTAGCAGGGCAATGAAAGGTGTCCGCGTTTCATTGCACTGTGGAAGTATTTTTACGATCAGTATCAAGGTAACCACTACTCGGGAGACTTTGCAAGAATTCGAGTAGGTTGAGCAGGTTTGATGGTTTAATTGCCTCCCATCTCGTTATTTATGATGAAAATCCTTGTCATGGTTGAGAGCTGGAACAAGCAGTGACTACGCGGGTGAGATTTTGGAGGACGTCATGAAACTGGTTCTGCTTGTCAACTATGTGGTTGATCGAGGCATTTCTAGAACGACAACTACTTGTGGAACTTAAAGGCGTAGTTCACGCTCAAAAGGTAGCCCATTAGAATCAAAGAAGAGGTGGCCAGTTGTGACGGGATAAAGAAGAACCATGAGAACCGGCTCAGAACCCAAGAAATGGGACCCCAAACGCGTGCGAAAAAACCACTTCTTGAGAAATCTTCGAATCGAAAAAAAGTTCAACAGCACAGAATAAAAATGCAAGTAATGGAAATAAGAATTGAAATAGTAGGAAAAAAAACAAGATTTTGCATGGCTATGAGAAATGTGCTCTCCGAGTTTTCAAAGATTTATTAGTGCTCTCAATAGTGCTATTTTTGATTTGCAGTTCTATTCGGACTGGTGTGGACACTGCCGATCATTTGCACCGCTGTACAAAGAACTGGCGAAGGATGTTCGGGGATGGCAGGACGTTGTGAAGATTGCTGCCATCAACTGTGCTGATTCTGCCAATCAAATCACCTGCCAGAGTAATAATGTGCAATTTTTCCCATTCATTAAGGTACACCTAACGCTACTTCTGACTTTTCTAATTATAGCCCATACTAATTATTTCAATCAAATTCAATCAAACGTGCGGACATGCGCTATCTATGTTTTATAATAAACGAATATCTCTCAGTATTGTGCTGTCCCGGAGCCTCATCTGGACTTAAATGTTATAAAACACAAAGAGGCACCAAAATTTATTCCAAAAGAGTCCCAAAAGTTCACAAATTATTCGAAAAATCCAAATTTCCAAAAAACACGAAAAGATCCAAAAAGAACTCCTTTGAAATCTCCTGCTATATTTCGGTGTTTAACACCTTTTTCAGCCATGTGTGTGCCTCAGCCAAGGATTTCACTGCCCTTAGGGGAGACGCGCCGTTGGAGTGGAAATGTATTATAATACTTAATAATAATGTAATAATAATAATACAATAGAAATGAATAGTCTTATAATACTGATAGTAATAATAATATTAATAATAATTAATAATAATCCTAATATGATTAATAATAATAATTAATAATAATAATAATAAATAATAATCAGATAAAAGAATGAATAAAATATAATAATAATAATAATAGTGATGATAATTATAATAATATTAATAGTAATAATAATAATAATAATGATAATAATAATAATACAATTCCACACCAACGGCGCGGCTCCCATAAGGGCAGTTAAGTCCCTGAAGAAGGTGTTAAACACCGAAATATAGCAGAAGATTTCAAAGGAGTTCTTTCCGAAACTTTTCGTGTTTTTTGGAATTTTGGAGTTTTTCGAATAGTATGTGAACTTTTGGGACTCTTTTGGAATGAATTTTGGTGCCTCTTTGTGTTTTATAACATTTAAATAAACTAATAATTAACAGTGCTTATACAAGGTACGGGATATCCTCTGGGATTAAGTCTAGGAGAGAGCTTCGTGGGCCGTGAAAATTGCTAAGGTCGGTGTCAGAGTCCGCGACCTGTCGCTCGGACACTGGCACCAGCTTAACGCCCTTTTGGAGCAGGGTGAATAAACGAGCGAAGAATTTCTCGACCATGACTCTCTACTGGCGAGAGTAGTGTCGAGAGTGAATGTACGCGCGGAGAGCACAGATGGCTCGCAGGTGGCGCGAGTGAATATCCGCACGTTAGAGCGTGACTAATCAGGCGAAAATCCTCGACGAACCGTTGCCGTTTCTTCGACCAATTTTCGCTTTGTCTGGGACTCTCTGAATGAATCAATACTATTACCTACATATTTTGCAATGATGCCTAATATAGTTTCGAACCGGCATGCATGTTTTATATTGCTGTTCCAACGAAAACGATTTTGTTCCTCTATTTGATGGCGTCAATGAAGTCTCTTTCCAGTATTTCCCTCGGAATTCGACGGACGCGTTTGCTGGCTCAAAACTACGTCCATATCAGTCGTTATCCGAGATGAGAGACCAGTTGACCAAGGTTGAACTCGCAAACGATAGAATATGTGGTAGAAATTTTTACACTTTGCATATTACAGGTAGTTATGGACGATTACTCTGTAAATCGTTTTAGCGACTGGCCAAGATTTGACTACCTAGGAGAGTAAGCATTTCCCTACCAGTCTAACTGCTAAACTTAACTGATCCTGGTGTCTACTTTCACTTATTCAGCTTTGTAACATGGGCAGATCTCTGGGAAGGTACCCCGGCAAGCGCACAGTACACAGCTATTATTTTTGAGAACCACCAAGCCAGCCTCACAGGTGCTCAGGTAAGAACTTTAGTTAAACCGTATTGTTGCTCATGAGAGGTACAGGAGACGAAATTGAGATTAGATAGGTGCAGCTCAAAGCATGAGTAAGGCCACAAGACGCGAACAGAGAAGAAGTATCGGATTATCATTCCCGCCCAATTCATTTTGCACCCATTGGTGACTTTTACATTTCTTTTTCCTCTTAGCTTCATCCGCAACCCACAGACCATACCCCACAAATAGCGACGGCCTCCACAATATGTAAATGCTTTTTGCCAATGAAATGATTATCCTGTTGCAGTTGTATTCTATCAGTTGCCACTAATCACAACACCCACTCACCAAAAATCAGCTATCACTATGAACCATTACTAACCACATTTACTTAGAGCAGGGTGAATATCGATCGAGGAAATCCTCGACAGGGGTGGTCGTACCTGTCGGGCTGGGTCATGGGGGCTCGCACTCTTGAGGGTCAGTAACAGCAGTGGTATCGTGGTGCAGATGGGTAAGAGGGTATAGCGCCGCAGAAAATGAAAATATCTG